AAGTTCTCAGTCACATGTACTTGTGTGCCCACAATACTGTCTGTACATGACATAGTCTCTACACTACCTATCACAATAACCACCTTTTCACTATGCCAATGAGCAGGGTCGTATCGACTGCATGCGGCATTTACTGGACAGCAACGTCAATCCAAACCAACCTGACAAGGTGAGTTGCATCTCACGGGGGTTCGTGACGGTTAACGCCATGGGATTTCCAATTTTTTCTGAAAAATAATGCCTTTCTGAGTGGAAAAGTGAGACGCGATCAAAAAGATCAAGAGTGTATTAGTAGTTTGAACATTGAACTCGCAGCGCGTGCTAGCTGCTAGCTCGAGTTGAGATAAGATTTGAGGAAGAAGCTCAGCCACTCGTGCACTTGCGGATTCGTTTTGACATCGGCGGTTTTTGGATAGCTTGATTCTCCTGCCGACGTGTTGTGGAGATGAGGAAATGGGAGAGTAATCCGTCACCCACGACGCAGCTTCGCATTCTGCATACTGGACGATTCAAGAAACCGAGGAGGGTGACGTTTCGCAAGGTGAAACGATCGATCGAGTTCCTGAAAATCGGAAAGGGTGATCTCTACCACCAACGCCAATGGATTCGACTCCCGCGAAGAGGTCGTTCAGTGCCCCTCTTCACGGCCGACGAATCGTTCATCTCAGGTATCTGGCTGTGGGATTGTCTGCGTGCCAGAATTCTGAATACGGCAAATCTCTGGCGCTCATTGATTGCGTTGAAGAGAAGAGGTACGGCCTGTGCTAGTCATTCCCTTTCATCAGTGTGGGATGGAGAATTTTATAGATACAGATAACCGTGTACCTGCTTAACACCCTGGCCCCGGTGCTTTCACCAAAACTGCTTTGGGTAAGTGTGTTTTTCAATCTCATAAGATTTATTCATGATATAAATTTTGCGAGTCATTGCCAACCTATGCCGGCTATGGAAATGTATAAAGTGGTGTCCCTCCATACTATAACATAAGTGTATGTTCAGCAAGTAATCAACAAAGAACATGGCTGACTATGAGAAATGATAGTACACATTGTATACCACATGTTTGTCTGTGGAGGATACAATATGAAGCAGGGCAAGTGACAGCTTTGAGCCTGTTGATTCCAGAAAACTTCCAAAGTCATCACCAATGTGCTCTCCGACTAACCCCATTCACAAAACCAGCAATATGACACTCGGAGTTAGGGCACGTACTGATTTCTTCACATAACAGTTTTCAATGAAAGAGAGAAGGGTCCAGACAGGAGCTGTTGTGATTCAATTTTCATGCCAAAGCAGTCATCAGACAATTGGCATTAAAAAATGGTGAATAATCATTGTGAAAAAGTTCCTCGCCCGGCACATTGAGCACTTTCCCCAGAAGTTTACAAGCCTAGTCTTTGATTTCTTCACACAGTTAGTTTTCAGGAAATGCATTAGCAGAGTATATTCAAATGTCTGTTCCATAACCTGCCTTATCTCCTTGATCTGGGTTAGCTCCAGCGTGCAGTAGATGCAGAACGCAGTCGGTCTTATTTGTTGGTAGTCGATTGGTTGTGTTTCTAACAATAATTGCTATCATGTCTCCGAGAAAAATGAAATACAGTTGTGAGACAAAAAGACACGGTTCGTGTGAGACCGGGCCAAACTGAGTTTTCCGCATGTGTACAAACGCTACTACCCTCAAGGATTAAAGAGCAGAATATAATATGCAGCTCCTTATATAAGGCAGTAGGACGTACATGTATGTAAAGGAAATGGTATTGCCTTCTCCCCCTGGCCCCTGTCACACAACAGCTCAAACAACTTGGTGGAGTTTCTGACTTCTTATACAAACAGAAAGGGCACAGGAGGAGAAAGACGAAAAGACTAGACAGAAAACGACGACGGGAAAAGACACCCGGGAAAAGACTCAAAGAAAACAACAAGAACAAGCAGTAATAAACCGAGGTCTGCGAGGACAAGTCGTGACGACCAATCAGGGACTAATACGTACAGAACACATGACCAAGACCAAGACAACCAGACCACGGACGAATCACACACGACTCTCATTCCCAGACCAAACTAGCACTGCGCATGTACAGCATTCACTTGACAGTCACTCTCACACAGACGGAAGCACATCCTCACACTCTGACAACGCGTACTCCTGCATGCACCACATACCATAAACGTCACACATCACACCATACTCGCGCGTACACCTAGACCATATATGACATCAGACACTGGACTCCACAAGACAAGAACCAAATACAACGACATGCGTAAATCATAGTCGTAATACAAATTCGTAACATAGCCCTCCCCTCCGGCGAGAGTCGACCTCGACTCTAGCAAGTAGGAAAATGCGTACTTCAGTTATATGCACCACGAGAAAAAAATGGAGTAGGAGAAAAACAAAAGGGATGAGAAGACACAATAACAGGAGAACAGACTGAGGAAAACAGGACGTCAAGTGGCTGCAGACGTGGAGATGGGAAAACCTTGGGTGTTGGCTCCACGAGGTGGTGCGTCGTACGACTTGCCCATTCGGATGTTGAAGATAGGGAGGTGCAGTGTAGAAGTTGAACATGTACAAAGCAGAGAAAGGAACAGCAGGAATGTAGGATCAAACAAACAGTGAGGACAGTATAGACGAAACAAATAACTATGGCTGCCAGTACGCAAAGAAAAAACAGGAACTCGAAAACGCAGGGACCCCGCCTGCCAAAACCTATCAAGCTAAGAAAAAAAAGACCCGCAAGGCAAACCATTACAACGCAGGGATCCCTCCAGCTCACCGGGTAGGCCGTGGCTCACCATGATCGGGCGCCCACCACGGCGAACTGGAGAGACCCGCCAGTGGACACAAAAAATGACAAAACGCTCACTGAAAGGCTACCCCAGCTATGAACCAGGTGTATCCTCGTAACCAAGAAAACTGTTCCAGTACAAACCATCACAGCAATACGTGTGTAGCAACTTCAAACCGAACCAAGCTTGCAAACCAAACAGTTACACAACCACACTGAAAGACTAACCAAGAAAACTGCACAAACCTCAGCAAATATACGCCCACAGACTGGAAAAAAAACACGCTTGCATAACGACGTGGAAACACTCGGGCCCTGAGCCCATTTTGGGAAGTAATACATTGTACTGGACACATCATCTCCGAAGGCTTTCACATGTAACAATTAGACTAGTACGACAACAACGACATCCCGTTCCGGGAGCGACTCACCGGGTAAGGGGCCTGCAGGCCAGGCTGGCGAACGACATGTTGCCTCATCGCTGATTAGAAGCGCGCCTGGTATGGGCTGCGTGACGAACAACCCTCCAATCCATAATATCTTGACTCCAAAACGAGAAAGGAACGCGCAAGGGCATGGCCCAAAAATAATAGACAAAGCGAAAGGAGAAACGGATAAACTGAGGCCACGGCGAAAACGATCCCAGGGTTGTGGGCTGCAGAGGTAGTACCCTGCGTCGAGCGAACGTTGGGCGCCAATGTAAAGGAAATGGTATTGCCTTCTCCCCCTGGCCCCTGTCACACAACAGCTCAAACAACTTGGTGGAGTTTCTGACTTCTTATACAAACGGAAAGGGCACAGGAGGAGAAAGACGAAAAGACTAGACAGAAAACGACGACGGGAAAAGACACCCGGGAAAAGACTCAAAGAAAACAACAAGAACAAGCAGTAATAAACCGAGGTCTGCGAGGACAAATCGTGACGACCAATCAGGGACTAATACGTACAGAACACATGACCAAGACCAAGACAACCAGACCACGGACGAATCACACACGACTCTCATTCCCAGACCAAACTAGCACTGCGCATGTACAGCATTCACTTGACAGTCACTCTCACACAGACGGAAGCACATCCTCACACTCTGACAACGCGTACTCTTGCATGCACCACATACCATAACGTCACACATCACACCATACTCGCGCGTACACCTAGACCATATATGACATCAGACACTGGACTCCACAAGACAAGAACCAAATACAACGACATGCGTAAATCATAGTCGTAATACAAAATTCGTAACATGTAAGTAGATCAGACCCACCACAAAGTGGACAAAGACCAAAAATCCCATTCACTGTATCCATGTTTCCCACATGCGCGGACCAACTGCCTGCAGGTCGCAGCAGGGCTGGAAAAATCCCTCACCTTCCAAGCAGAATTTGCATGGGGTATCCTCTACTTCACATTCACAATCCTAGACCATCCCACTATGCCTACCTGTCTGATGCCAAAGCAGTGCCGAAATCGTAAATGTACAAAGTCAGTGGATGTAACCGCATGGATTGCAATGCACTCAAGTGCATGTGTTATTGTGTTGACTAATCAATACTTATCAGGAGTTTAGAGGGTGCTCGCTAACTAGTTTTGTTTGTTAACTTAATGCTTCATGAAATGCAACCTACCTTGTCAGGTTGGTTTGGATTGGCTTTGCTGTCCAGTAGATGCTGCATGCAGTCGATATGACCCCGCTCACTGGCACAGTGAAGTGGTGTCTTTCCATACTATAACACAAGTGTATGTTCAGCAAGTAACCAACAAAGAACATTGCTCAATATGAGAAATGATAGTACATATTGTATACCACATGTTCGTCTGTGGAGGATAGAATGTGAAGCAGGGCAAGTGACAGTTTTGAGCCTGTTGATTCCAGAAAACTTCCAAAGTCATCACCAAATGTGCTCTCCGACTAACCTCATTCACACAACCAGCAACATGACACTCAGAGTTAGGGCACATACTGATTTCTTCACATAACAGTTTTCAATGAAAGAAAGAAGGGTCCAATCAGGAGCTGTTGTGATTTAATTTTCATGCCGAAGAAGTCATAAGACAATTGGCATTAATAAATGCGGAATAATCATTGTGAAAATGTTCCTCGCCCGGCACATTGAGCACTTTCCCCAGCAGTTTACCAACATAGTCCTTGATTTCTTCATACAGTTAGTTTGCAGGAAATGCATTAGCAGAGTACATTCAAATGTCTGTTCCATAACCTGCCTTATCTTCTTGATCTGGGTTAGCTCCAGCACGCAGTAGATGCAGAACGCAGTCGGCCTTGTTCTCAATAGTGGCATAGTGAAGTGGTGTCCGTTTATCCTGTGATACAGTCATAGGTACAAGCAGTGATTAACAAAAGAAAACCTATTCTGACTTCCATCACTGGTGTATCACTCTGATGGTGTGATTACTGCAGTATATTTTACAAATCCGGCAGAGAGGTTCTCAGTCACATGTACTTGTGTGCCCACAATACTGTCTGTACATGACATAGTCTCTACACTACCTATCACAATAATTGTAGAACAGAATGTTCATAAACTTAAATTATCGGGAAGGTTTGGACTGGCTTTCCTGTCGAGAGATGCTGCATACAGTCGATATGACCCTGGCCACTGACATAGTGAAATGGTGCCTTTACCCATTATAACACAAGTGAATTTTTTTCAGCAACTACTAGTAACAAACAAAGAACATGGCTACTTGTGTGTCCACTATATTACATGTCAAGATTACATAGTCCTCACACTATCCCTGAGAGACCTCTTTTGGGTAGTGGTGTATAACTGTGTGAAACATGAAGTTGCTACAGTGGAGTCTGAACACCCTGAGGAAGGTGTATATACACTACCTATCACAATAATGGTCAAGCACATGTTTTCAACTTACATTATCATAAAAGGTTTGGATCACCAAAAATGAATTAGTTCATCTCATGGCTCCCCTTCACATCCCATTTTTACCGACAAAATTTTGCAGTGTTTAAGACCATTGCAGCACAGGGTAGCAATTTCACAGTTTTGTTTGTTAATACTTCATGAGATACAACTTACCGCATCACGTTGGTATGGATTGGCTTTGCTGTCCAGTAGATGCCGCATACAGTCGATATGACCCCGCTCACTGGCATGGTGAAGTGGTGTCCTTCCATACTATAACACAAGTGTACGTTCAGCAAGTAATCAACAAAGAACATGGCTTACTATGAGAAATGATAGTACACATTGTATGCCACATGTTCATCTGTGGATGATATAATTGATATGAAACAGGGCAAGTGGCAGCTTTGAGCCCGTTGATTCCAGAAAACTCCTAAAGTCCCCACCAAATGTTCTCTCCAACCAACCACATTCACAACACAAGCAACATGTCACTCCGAGTTATGACATAATTATAGTGATTCTTCACATAACTGTTTTTGATGAAAGAGAGAGGGGCATAATCGGGATCTGTTGCGACTTGTTTTTGGAATAACCAATAAGCAATATGCATTAAGCATTGAATACTTTTCCAGCAGTTTGCCAACATAGTCTAAGATATATTTATACAGTAATGTGCTCACTATTTCGTATTTTGCTGCTTCGTTGCCATAGTGATTATTCAGAACCAATCAGGTTTAGAAGAGCACAATGCTCCAGTGGTTTTTCTTCCCTAATAACATATTCGTGAACTTCATTCTTGTGTCACGTTACTCTTTCCTATAATAATACCAAGAGTATAACCCCCAAGAGGGTGCAACACTGCATATGGGGTCTCCGACGGCAAAAACTCACATCACATGTCTCAGGTACGTTCGTACTACGTACAAATGAAGGATAGCGTGCGAGCAATCCGAATATCTGCCATGATCATGCTGGGGATTTACATACCCGCAGTGAGTTTCTGTCGGAGAGTGTTTTTTTATTACTCCGCTGCTCGCGAAAAACGAGCTAGAAACGTACAACTACGACACTACACCACGTGATGTGAGTTTTCGCCGTCCGCGTTCCCCATAGAAAGGGTATCAGGAGTTGTACACTCTTAGGGGCTTATATACTCTTTATTATACTCCGCATAAAACTATAGTATTGTCCTATGAAAGTGTCTTAGAAAAGGACCGTTTATCCAGAGCAGCTTACACGTCATATACTGTCTTTGCTGCTTTCTGAGTAGATCTATCTGTCAAGTGGCTGTTAAGAAACTCGCAGGCTTGCAGGCTGGCCAGCAAGAAAATTGGAGGAACTGAGCTGTGAATGGAGCTGTAACCGACTAACAAGTTATCCCTATACCTGCAGGCATGCAGTGTGATGCATGTCACAATAGGCATAACACACCCATATAGCAAACAATAATTCCCGTAGCTATGCAGAAAACGTTACTTCAGTAACTTCTGGCGCTAGCCAGGGTCCACACAGCTTTAATTTGGTGTTTGTGTGTTTGTTTGTTTGTGTCACGCCTGGCGCTATCCCGTATCTGACGGCAAAAAAATCATAGGGATGTTATAAATTTTTAAATTCTCCTCTTTTTTTCAGGCATATCCTGGGATTCGAACCCGCACTATCGCCCTACATGCATTCCCCCATACACTTCGCATTCATACCCATTCTTCCAAGTTGCTTCACGTTATGATCTTGCTTCACGTTATGATCTTGCGTTTGAAAGCCCTATTTGAATATTGCGGGCAGCTGTATGTGCCCAACTGTGTTTGATGGTACGGTACGGGAGACGGTGTCGTATTACCTTCGATCGTACCTGTCCCATACCTATCCCTACCGTACCGTACCATCAAAGACGGCTGGCCACAATGCATATTCAAATAGGGCTTTCAAATGCAAGATCATAATGTGAAGCAACTTGGAAGAATAGTATGTATGCGAAGTGTATCGGGGGATGCATGCAGGGCGCGATAGTGCGGGTTCGAATCCCAGGTTATGTCTTTAAAAAAAGGAATTTTTTAAAGAATTTATAACATCGCTATGCTTTTTTTTGTCTAGGTCATCAAGGCAAAAAAGCATAGCGTAGGGCCCTGAGCTTCCAAGCTCTCTCGTTATCACTCTGAGCCTATAGGCATAACAGATGTCTCGCGCTCATGAGACCAACCCTGCTTACGAATTACACTGGATACTAAGGATTTATTCTGGGGTTGCAAGGAATATTCGAATATTCGATTGATATTCGTTTGTAACCCGATGGAAGGAATAATTCCCCCTTTAGAATACGGTATTCGTTTGTTTTGACACGTGCGCGCACTCTGCTCTTGTGTCTATCTATCGTAGTAATTCTTGAATGGATGGAATGATATGTACATACTTGTATGTTATGGGTAGAGAAAGGGGACTATGACTCACAAAAGTAGTGGACATGACTCCACTAGACATCTACTTGGTCTGGAACAACCGGGGACTAGCCAAACTCTTTCTAAGATTCCTTTGGTATAAAATATTCGATTCGTTTACAAAAAAATCGATTTCGTTCTTATTTACATAATAACCGACGAGGAGACAACAGTCGTAAAATAGCAATGAAAAATATCAATTGTGCACTCATAATCATGTATAAACAATTAAAATGAAACAATTCCAGAACGTTTTCGTGTGACCATCATCAGTGGAACATCGTCACATAGTAAGAATCACTAAAACAACCAGTTATATAGCTAGAGTAACATGAAAAGAAGCGTGAGAATGCAGCACAGCTAGCGGTTATGCATAACGCGTGTAGTGTGAACCTTTGCAGTGTATCTGAGAATGGTAGCAGTAGATGAATGTGGCAGCTGTGAGTGCGTGTGAACAAAAACTGGTGAGTGCGTATTATTTAAAAAGTGTGAAACTTAAAAACTGTGCTGCATTCTCACGCTTCTTTTCATGTTACTCTAGCTATATAACTGGTTGTTTTAGTGATTCTTACTATGTGACGATGTTCCACTGATGATGGTCACACGAAAACGTTCTGGAATTGTTTCATTTTAATTGTTTATACATGATTATGAGTGCACAATTGATATTTTTCATTGCTAATTTACATAATAGTTATTTGTTTCACCCTTAGAAATAATTCAGCATTTTGGGAGAATATTCGTTATTGGTTCGTTATGGGCGAGAATTCGTTCGTTTTGTGAAATAGAATATTCGCTGCAGCTCTAATTTATTCCCGCAGCTATGCAAAAGACGTTACTTGAATAAAGTCTTGCGCTAGCTAGGGTCCACACAGCTTTAATTCCGTCATTGTTTGTTGTGTCGTCGGGCATGCCTGGCGCTATCCCTTACGTGGCCCGTACCGTACCATCAAAGACAGCTGGCAATCTAATTCAAATAGGGCTTTCAACTGCAAAATCATAATGTAAAGCAACTTGGAAGAATGTGTACGTATGTGAAATGTATTGTGTATAGGGGTAATGCATGCAGGGGTAATGCACGCAGGGCGATAGTGCGGGTTCGAATCGCATGTTATGGTAAAAAAACATAGGAGAAACGAAAAAGAAGCGTCATTACACGAAGGATTTATTGAGACGTCACGAACAAATTCTGGTAGTGTCATTTTTTCTTGGCGCTAATATGTTCAGTCAGTGTTTTTGTGTAGCGTAGCTTCGTTCAGTGTTGAAATGTGTCTTTAGGTTCTCCTTCCGGTTCTGAGGGAGCTGATCCTGTGCTGGTGACAGACAATGCGGTGAGTATAGCGGCGGCGGATATCGGATCCACATTTTAAAAAAGTGTTAGTAGGAAATTGAGTTGGGTAACTCCGCTCTTCTTCCTCGCTCACCGGAGGAAATGTAGTCTCCTCGCGCAACTGGGGAGCAGTTTTCATTGGACATTAGTGACGGGACGATGCGACGGGAATCAATGGTACGAGCTGATGAACGAACGCTTTACGGAGGAAAAGAAAAATTTGCTGTCGGAATTTTCAATGTGCGGGGCCTCATGTCGGCCGTCAAGAGGAACTGGCTTGTGTCGGTACCTCTCTTTCTACGGCATAGACGTCTGTACCCTTCAAGAAATCAAGTTACCTGCAGGGCTTGACGAGCAGCGAAACGGCTAAAGAGGGAGTACGAGTGGAGCGGAGTGTTAGAGCACGCGGACGGCCAGTGTCATTGTGGAGTCGCGACTTGCAGCTGTTCGGCTTGTTGGTCACCCGGAGCTCCGTCAACGCGGGCATGGAGCTAATGCGAGCGCGTGGCCGAGGTTGCGCTGACTAGTTGGCGGCGGCTAGCCGAGCTCGACGACTTGTATACGGCCTCAGTAACGGAGCTGCCACCCAACACCTGAAACGCAACGGCTGCAGAATCTTGGAATGTTCGAGTCTGCCTTGTTCGTTCTGCCAATGTGTCATGCAAGTAATGTCTTCTCCCTGAATGTTCGGAACGTTTTTGCAAATTGTCTGTACATGTGAAAATGGGTTGGCCATCTTTTGTAGCTTTCCACTACGTGGTTCGCGGCTGTAGTTTTTATGGTGGGAGATCTGCGCCAAGCCGATGCTGGATTGTTCAATAGTAGACGCTCTGCAGAGCCTGGGAGCCATTGCCCATGACAGACCAGCATGGCGAGATCTATGCATGAGGGTCTGTGCATTGTGATATTCCGACAGATCCTGAAACAGTCAAACTCAGGAAATAGCACTATCATTATCACTCAGGCTGCAATATTCATATTATGGACATATTCATAAATGACATATCTTCAATACCCATGAGCTACATTGTATATAATATATATGATATAAGTATCATAATTATTATTATCATCGTTCTAGCTCATTTTTTCCCCTGTCATAGTCCTGTTTATCATGTTCAGCATAAGCGAAGTTGTGGATCATGCTTGCATGGTTGACTCCAACGCGTACATGCAAGTAATAATAATAATAATAGTAGGAAATCCACCTGCAGATCGGTCAGTAGATCCAGATCTGTTTCGCTAGAATGTCTCCAGAAGCTGGAGTTATCAGTAGGGCAGATTTTCGCTTCTGTCGAGAGTTTACCGTTATGTCCCGATTCGATCTGGAGTCGAGCCCGACCGATCTGTGGATATCGATGTTCGAGGGCGAAAATGAGTCAGGCGCGGACGAGATGCAATCTCTGGCAGATTATGTGACTCGCTCTCTCATTCTGCCTGACATCCCCTACAGTTCTAACGCATACCTCTCCTCCCTAACATCAGCACAACGACGCTTCCATCAGTTTGAATAACATGCATGATGAGCTAGGCAAAAACACATAGCATAGGGCACTGAGCTTCCAAGCTCTCTCATCATGTTCAGACACACATTCAGACACACATTCAGACACACATTCAGACACACATTCACACGCACATTCAGATACACGTGTTCACACAGGAACCATGCCAACCAAATATCTATGATAAAACTGGTTTCCTCACACGATCAGTTACGTATGTATCCGCACCGGCATCAAGCAAATACTGTAAACACTTAGCGGAGCCACGATTAACAGCTGCATGAAGAGCGCAACCGTAGGGTTCGATCTGCAGGTAAAGTACCAAAAAGTGGAAATACAACATACAGAGCAGATACTGAAAGTAATGACATTAGAAGGCAATTCTAATGACTTTTGAGTCGATGTGGGTCCCTAGTTGCCGGAGTGGTGGTTCTGTGCAGTACCGTAGTCTGTCAAACTGGCCACTGGATATGATGCACACACCTGGTACTATTTTCCTTGTCATGAAGATTACAAGTGATTCATTCAACACCCTGCTTGAAGTACAATTTTAACAGTGAACACCTACAAATATTGCGGAAAAGTTGTATCCATCCTGACTGCAGCTAAAAATGGAACCTGGTGGGAAAGACCCCATTCTCAATCAGGCACGTGCACTGTATGTGTTTTTGGTGTCCGGAAACCACCTTACTTTGGCTAGTCTAGAAAAAGAAAAGGTATGTCCACTCAACCAACCACAGGCAGTTTACGCAACAGTGGCTATGTCCTTATTTCAAAGTGAGAGAAAGAGAGTTGCTTCACTTTCCGCTCAATCTTCTCTCCTTCTTCAGTGGAGAGTAGCTACAGAGATCGATATCTGATTCGCTCCTGGACTGGCAGTGACGTTCAAGAAGTCTGCTTTGTCTCGAAACTTGAGTCAAGCACGCACGATGCACATTGAGTTGATGGACAAGCCAGAGAGCACTTTTGCAACCTTGCAACTGATTACATCACTGATTACATCACTGATTACATCACTCCCTTGAGGTTCACTGTAAACCGTGTATGTATACTCTCCAGCATCCAGACATCTTTAGGTGTGGCCTGGGCTCACCTGGCTAGGGCCCAACTGCGGCCGGTACAAAGGTCGTTTTCGAAGAATGCTCTGGTATTAAGCGTTACATCGGTGCCATCGCTCAAGTCACACCATGCTAAGTTATTGTTTACCACATAACAACAAGTAGACACGAATATATTCCCACAGCACGAAATTGTCCAGGCACATCCGGAACCTCAAGAAATCAAACACCCAGTACGAAGTCTATTGGAGAGTAAAGTACGGTGGCCGGGCATACATCAACATCACCTAGCGATGTTCCCTCTGCACTAGAGAAAGGTACATACTCAATCAACACGATAAATCAACATCTAGTCTCAACCAGTGCTCGGAACTCATGTCCAAATGCTGGCATGAGAACAAATATTTCCTCAGCCTCGACAATGTCACATAACTGTCCCCACCTCGACAGCCTCCTGACTACACCAGCCACACACCCTGCACCGATATAACCGCGACTGCTAGGCTTGAAACTAACACAACCGACACAGGGCATGTATTATATACTTATTTGTTGCCCGTACAAGTGGCCCTGGCATAGGTGTTTTGAAGGTTATCAGTGTTCTTCTAAACCATGGTCCATTACACTTACACTTATAGTACACTTACACTTATAGTACACTTACAGTTATAGTACACTTACACTTATAGTACACTTACATATGGTCCCGGAGAAGAAGGGAGACTGTAATACCCTTGATGGTTCAGCATGTGCTTGTCAACAGTGCTTGCCAAGAACCTGACAACAGAAGTAGCATTGTGGCCACAGGCATCCCTCAGTAACCTTGCCTGCAAGAAAACATAACACAGCACAGTAGAACACAGTGCACTAAAATTAATAACAAACAACAGAGCAGAGAGCACTAAACAACTAGTCCCTTCAGTACTAAGGACGAGAGTATATCGCCATGAAACAATTCAGCATGCCAACTAGCAAATGATAATAAATATAGTGGAGTGCCGACTACTCACATCCCTTGGTGTGCAGGCTGTTTCCAGGGGGTTCGAATAAGGAGAATGTTCCGATAAGGGAGCAGTCACACATAATCTAGACTATGCATATTCCCTCATGTCAATCCATGCATGCACCGACGCCACAGAACCAGGCAGAAGGACGATCCAAACAGAGTAAAACTGGAGAAGGATTTTGTTCCATTCTCGCAGGGCTATACAGGGAATCATGAAATAACTCAAAGACTACAAATATAAAGGCAACGAGTTTGTAAGAGATTAAATCTAACATTTCACGAAGCGGAAATGAAAGACTAAAAGGGCACATTTACTCAGTGTGTGAAAAAAAAAGAAGGCAGGAGAACACGTCACATGGTACTAATAACACACTCATGAGGACTAGCACCATGTAACTGCAAAGGCAACACATTCTCATTTTGTACACACAACTCAAGGAACAGCTTACAAATGTTCAATACTTCCAAAACAAACACATACACACACATCCACACTCACACTTCTTGGACCTTGGACGCCCATTGCTAGTGCGATGATAGCATACGAGCTGAGCAATATGGGGAGTGACGCTTCAAGTCACGCGCCCGGCGAAATGTTCCTCCACACATGCACTGAACACTCTTCGCTGACCCTGGCGGAGGACGACGAGACAACTTCCTCCACTCTCCCCTGTCTTGTGCCACATAATACCAGTCACTTCAGGCGCGTTGGAAGGTATTTTAGTGTGGTACGGTCAGCCATCTGAAGTACAATTTACTCGCGGAGGAGTGGTGGCTGAGCCGAAAATTTTGGAATTTTAGATCCAAGATCAGTGTATTTTGTTGATTTACGGGGTATCTGGGGCAAAAAGTGGTACGGTCAATACCGTAGTGACCGTACCGTGTGCGACGCCCCTGCACTTTCCGGGATCCCCGCCATGGCCAGGTCAGATCTAGCGACATCATGCCATCTCTTCATGGGGCCATGACGGAAGTTGCCTGAAGAGGACCTGCTTGAGGAGACTGCTGGAATTCATCCTGGCAATGTGACCAAGCCAGCGAATACGATGGCACTGCAGAAGCCCACCGATGTCTGCTGTGAGTCCGACTCGCTTTGCAGTCTCCTCGCTGGTGAGCCTGTCCTGCCACTGTGTCGAGCGGGATACACCAAGGATAGCACGACTGCACGCGTGATGGAAGCCGTTCAGCCGCTTTCAGTGCCTTGGTCTCGGCACCGTAAAACAGAGCGGTGAGTACACTGGCCGTATACACCAGTCTCTTCGTGCATATAGATAGGGGCTTGTAATGGGAAATGGGCATTTGCAAGGAGCCAAAAACAAGTGACGCCTTAGCCAGCTGCACTGCTACCTCGCCATCCAGTGAACCGTTATCGTCCAGAGAACCACCGAGGTAGGTAAAACTGGCCATCTGATCAATCACATCACCAGACTCCAGATGTATGCCACACCGAGCATAGTCATCACCCACGGCCATCACCTTCATCTTGGAAGTGCTCACGGTCAAGCCCCAGCTGCAGCTAACAAATTCCCTTGCTAGGATGTCCACACCACACTGAGACGGTGCGTAAAGCGCTGCATCACTCGCAAACTGTGACTTCGTTATCTCGGTCTCCAGTAGTTTCGATTTGCCTGACTGATCGCCAACAAGCTTCCGTCCGATGCGGTAGCGCAGAGTTACACCAGGCACAGTCGATGTGGAACGTCACGAGGCAACCACCGTGGCAAAGTATATATCAAACAGAGTAGGTTGTGACAATATGACAATGTGTGTAGTGTGACGATACAATGTGTGTGTAGACAAACATTACGATTATGTATTTGTTGTGGTGACATCTGTCATCAGTGTGTCATGCCTCTTACCTCATTGTAGCTTCATCCGTAGTCCGCTTCCATTGTCCTTGTTCTATATTCTATTCTATTTCTTCTAGTGCTAGTCGTTTCACTTCTCATCTTTCCTTGAAGTAGTATATTTGAATTGTAATTGTTTTCCTGCAACGATCGCTCGTCGATCGTTGTGTTATTTATTTGTGTCTTGACTTCATTATTTATTTCGCCAGCGCCTGCAAGGCTGCATGCGCATGCTAGATTCTGTGTTCACGCGTGACTAATGATGTCATCGCTATGCCTTTGCTTGCTGCGCGTAGTCTTGTTGTTTTCTTTGCTTCGTTCGAGTTGCTGTTGCTCGACTTCGTTTTCTGATCTATTTTCTGCATTCAATGGTGGCCGTGATGGCTGTCGCTGCAATAGCAGCTTCAGCCACGACGGGCCTCTATCGGTTGCTCTGCCGCCATGTTGGACGCCATGTTTTAGACGTGTCTTTTCCGCGAAAGGCTAAAGGGACAAGCTTATCTATTTTTGCGGATTTTCTTTCATAAAAAATAAACGTCACAGGCTGCTCTTCGTAGGTGTCCGCGTCCCAGCGGTCCGGGCAAGCGACCGAATCTCAGTGGGACACTTGGCCGTGGCCTTTGTACTGGAATCTGTGGGAGAGCCTTTCCAGGGACTACACACCTGGGTACCCGGGTATGCATATGGCTCCTTTTTTGTTCCTTTCCTTTTTATTTGTTTTTGCTGAGAAAGAAACGTTGCTGGATGGAAAGCTTTCTGTTCCCGCCATGCGCCAGGGCCTTTGCTCTAGTAAAACCTTGCTGGCTGATAATGGTCATTGCTCGTGATGTCAACTTAGAAGGTGACGGGAAGCTGGGTTTCTTGCCATTTCCAACTTCCTGACTCTGAAAATGTAGCTTGAACTAAGAGCTCCAAATATTTCAGTTTTTCGATGTGCCAGACCTATTGTTACGACCTGCAGAGATGAGGAGCAAGTGAGGCGTTGGATTAATGCCAATAATGGTGTTTATGGCCCGGACGACGCCAGCGGTTTTCACTTGTCAGGAGGACAGCCAAGTTGGAGCAGGCAGTTGACAGATTATTAACTTTGAGCATTTATAGCAGAGTGGGTGGCTTGCCAAAGAGAATCGTCTCAGTACCTCATGGTTACTAGTATCTGACAAATGTCTCTTATTGCTAGTCTGCACTAGAGCATTAGCAGAATTGATCATGTCACAAGTAGTGTCAAGACTTGATGTCCTACGATTATACTCAGATCATGTTGCTACTTCACAGGAATATTCGTCCTGCCACTGTACACTCTTCCAGAATTGCATGCAGAAGTCACATGCCTGTCACAGTGTGCAAGGGACAACGCGTTTGCACTGCTTACGGATTCAAGCGGATGGAGTGCAGACCAGATAAGAAGACATAATCCGGCTATTCAAATAGCTTGGGCTGCTATTAATTGGCTAGACTCCTGGAAACATGGACAAGAATCTAAACCAGTCCACGGAAACAATATCACGCCACACAGGAAGCTAAATGGCAAACCAATCAAGTTCTTTGGTAATGAAGCCGTTCACCAACATTGTCCGGTTGCATGGCTTGTGTCACTCAAACAAGACCAATGGACCTAAAAGATACGCTGTTGATCAACCACAACTCCAATACCACTGAGCAGTGTCTTCTATACAGATCCAATTAGATATTCAAGTATAATTATGAGTGGAAGTTGCTGGTATAGTCTCTCCTAATGACCGCGTATTTGGCATAATGTTCTCTGTACTGCACTCTAGAGCTACTTACCTTTTCCGGCATTGAACTCAGGCAGTGACCACTCACCCGCAGAATGAGCCAATTGACACAAGCTAAGTACCATGTGCATCCGTCGCAAGAGAAACATGCAAGTCTGCAAGTGAAGTGGATGGACACCCACTGATTTTCTCTTATGTCGATATCAGACATGACCTGAGTGAAACGTATGAAGACTTGCGCCACATTACTGCACAATTCCATATAATTATTGCGAGGCCTTGTGAAATGATTCTCAATGCGCACCTGGTCTACGCCACACAGAATACATCGGATTATAATCGCCAATACAGCTGCCTATTTCTCTCTCTCTGTCTGTCTCTCGATCTTCATCTATATCTCTCTATCTACCTATACCCAATCTGCGGACAGAACTGTTTCGTCCTTTGTGGACTCATCAGCGCAGCACAGAGAAAATGAGGCCGAACCTGATTGCAATGAAAAATAAAATTTCCAAAGCCAGATTTAATTCTCCACCTATCAACTCCCTTCTGTGTGTATGCGCGTGCATGGGTGCAGGGTATATGCGCACATATCTTTCTCTCTCTCTCTCTTTCTTCCTGTCTTTACCTGGTTTGTGAATCGGCTCTTTTAATCGTATTTTTTCGGCTCACTGTTTTATGAGTTCACCTCACTATATGTTTTTCTGCTGCTACCTACTTATATTATAGTAGTTGCCTGATGATCGTAGTAATATGTGAAACTCAAGAGTTGTGACACAGCTTCCAATCTCTCTTGTGTACTTCAGTATTAGAAACACAAGGAACGAAATCTCTCGTATCTGTGTGTCTCGACATGCTTCTTTGTCTGTCTGTCTCTCTCTATTCTAGCAATCTCTCTCTCTCTCTCTCCCTCTCTCTATCTCTCTCTCTTTATCTCTCTTTATCTCTCTCTATCTCTCTCTATCTCTCTCTCTCTCTCTCTCTCTCTCTCTCTCTCTCCCTCTCTGTATATATCTGTCGGTCTGTCTATCTCTCGTCTGTCTGTCTTTCTCCTTCTGCCTGTCTTTGTTAGTCTGCCTGTCTGTGTGCCTTTCGTCTGTCTATCTGTCGCCTGTCTGTTTTTCTCCTTCTGCCTGTCTTTGTCAGTCTGCCTGTCTGTGTGCCTCTATGTTTCTCTCTCTCTTTCTCTCTCTCTTTCTCTCTGTCTGTCTCTCTCTGTCTCTCTCTCTCTTTTTCTG